ACCAGCATGACAGGGTCAGTCATTTAAAAAAGATGTCGATTCCAAATTGGAGTAACACTGTAGCGATGGAGATCTAGTAACTTGTGTGTAAATTTGTATTCCCTCATGTTGGAATTTCTTGACAACAATGTGTTTACACAATGCTAAAAATACAAACAATGCAGTCAAGACTCTTCGAGGAGAGTTGTCGCTTTTCTGGTACAGCTGAATTAAAAGATGTGACCCAACGTTAGAATAAGGGAACATTCTATTGTGGGATTCCCATAAGAGATGTGAGCGAAAAACCCTTTGCTGACCTTTATGGGGCTGTGGTCCTAGGGCTGGATGCGTGACTGGAGTGTCTACTCAAACACAGACACACACACACACACACACATACGTCCAGTTTAAAATGGGTGTCAGCTTCTGCCACCCCCTGCCAGCAGCTGTCAGCCATCAGCGCTGGGTGCCAGGGAGCACCAGAGCCACTCTGCTCTCAGCCCTTTGTTTTCTTAGCTCAGGGCATCAGAACAGCAACGTAAAATCGGCCTCATTCGCCACGGCACCGAACCAGAAGGGGCTTCCCTGTGTTCTGCCTCGTATCTAATGAGCCTAAAGGAGATTACAACAATTTGAAATATACCCAGGCACTTTAGTGCTTAGTCATGTGCTTAATCACTTATTTGACAACACGCCAATGACAGACTGTTGGCGGTATGAGTAAATCATCCAATATTCATGTGTGGCTCCTAAGTGGCGCATTTAAAATCAAGCCTCAATTTAAAAAAAGGCAGATTTTCCTTTGATGGATAACATAACTTATGTTGTTTTCATAATTTATATAATTCTACAAGAATAATAATTTTACGAGCAATGAGAGGGATGTGTGCAATATAACAATACAATGATGTCCAAAGGTGTTAGACCAAAAAGCATCTATACACATCCCCTGAACACTTCATATTTCCATTGCTTACTGGCTGAGAAAATGCTAATTTCTGACCTCCAAATAGGAGAGATTAATAGTAAAATTCCCTGCTGGGAGCTGCTCTGAACAGTTGCTAGTAGGTGGTTTCACATCAAATCTTATCCTGGTTCAGATGTATTATTAGTGTTCATGCAGCGCCCTCCTGTGTTTAAACTTGGGAGCCCAATGTGTGTCTACCAACCTGTTTGAAGTTGCATAAAACGACAAAATAACGCATGGACTTTCCTGATTAAAATTGCTGTTTGTGCTTGATTAGAAGGCTAATGAAGGACATAGCATCAACTCATTTAGAGAGACGAAACTGTCAAAAATGCAAGTAATTGTACATGTTAAGTTTTACTCATCTATTTTGAAGAATGCTGATGCAGCTAACCAAACAAACCATATTCCAAAAAATCTGATAGAACTTTTGAGAACTCTTAAAAATCATAAGCCTTAAATCAAAACTTGTATATGACCATTTTTGGTTGTCTTTATTGCAAAAAAGCCCAATTCACTAACATAAATGCATAAAATGCATGATCATATAAATAGGATTTACTAGCATTCTGAAAAAAAACCTTATTGAAAAATGTAGAGTTTCTGAAAACTAAAGACATGTAATTGTTCCTTTTTTGTCAAGTTTCCACCTGTCTCAGTTGCCACAACCTGCTCCCAGCTCCAGAATGGTAAAAACTTAAAAGGAATGATGGTTTCGACTTGTTAAAGTAACTCCTGCATTACTTTTCCACAGTGGTTAGGGTGGAAATGCAAGGAAACCACCAGCACCACTGCAGCCTTTTTCTATTTGCTCCACAATATGCACACAACTAAAATACAATAAAAATAAATACAAAACTTGCTTTGTTGCTGTTTTGTAGCAATGAGTACTGGACAGATAAGTGCGGTACGATTGAATAAAAATAATTATGATCTCCAAACATCATAAAGGTAACAATATCAAATATTTAGCCCAAGATTATCCACATAACAGTCGAGCCATTGATTTCTCTTCCTCCATGTTGATGTAATGCATAATTGGTTTGTAAAAGAAATGAGCTCTGTGTTACGGATATACATAAATGATACATTAGCACACTGAGCAACAGGAACCATGAATTTCAGATGACCTTTGTCCAGCGAAACCTTGTTAGCACAGGAGGGAAATCGCATTCCTGTTTACATATTGAAAGTGTCAATTCATCGTGTAGGAGACAACAACCAGATCGAGGGGAAAAATTTTCAACCGAAGATTAAACCATAGATTAAACTTTTTTAAAAAGGCTATATAAAGTGCAGAAGGAGACATTACATGCTCATAAAATAATCAATTCCACCGCATCACTTCTTATCCTGGGCTTTGTCTGGCAATGTGCAGAGCTGTGCCCTATTCCTGAAACAACATGGAGCCAACAAACCGCTGGTCAATGCAGGAGTCTGCTCAGATCTTGTTACCCACCACACTGAGACAGTGATGGCACCTGAAACAACCATCAGCAAACCATTTGAATCTGCTTGTATTATATGCAGAACTCTGCACGGACTTGCACCACCTTCCTGTAATAAAATGGCTGTTAATAGTGGTACAGTTTATCGTCTCCTTTATGGGAGTCTCCATTTTCTAATATTCTTAAAGCTCATCTCAAACAACTCAAACAACATCTCAAATTCAGATTAATTTTTTCTTTCCTCACGATAAGGTTGTTAGCCAAACCGCTTGCTCAGTCTGAAAGGAGATGCTGTCCATAACATTTAAATATGTTCTCTTATGGACAAAGAGACAGTTTTTGTGATTCATATATGTGCTAATTTATATATGCCACACGTTCTTTTATTGTGTAAAGTATTTCTGGTCAGTGCCGTTTCCTGTCGCAGACAGATCACTTTTGAAAATAAAAAACAAAAAAATAATTAAAGGTCTTTAAAAGCATTACTTTCCAATTTTTTGGGCAATCTGAAATGTTAAAATATGCTGATTTCTTCCACCATTTTTCTGTCTAATTACTTTGGAGTTAGTCCACCATTTACTTGTTTTCTTGATTTGAATAAGCCATATATATCTGTGAAAAAGAAAAGGAAAAAAGGTTTCCATTTTCTGGATTTGCCTGGGAAACAGTTTCCACACTGAATATTTTCATTACACTGAAAAACAATGCTCAAGAATTCAGTTTGTTATTTGGAGAAACTTCTATAGAGTTTGAACTTTATTGATTGTAAATCTTTATTTGAGGAAACTTCACTTTTGCATCACTGCTACACGTCAGGTATATCTACTTGAATACAAATGTCTTTTCAAACATTGGAATGTCTAAAAGTGGTACATTACAAGTTGTATTATTCTATATGTTTAACCATATTGCAAATACCACGGCATACAAGTTTAAGGATCAAGGCTTTAAATGACATTTCTCTGTGATTATGCAAAAAAAACTCTTTAGTTCTAGAACATGTGGAGGAATCTCCTCAAACTACCCATAGGGGCTTCAGGAATGGGTAATAAGATTCCCATTAAGGCACAGATTGGGAAAAATTGTCCCAGGAACACCCTAATTCTTTTTTTTCATCCTAACAGTAATTTTTTCATAATCCTCTCTGCCAAGTTGTGCAAATGAAGTCTTCTAAGGTCTTTGCAAGAGTCAAATGGGAAATCAGGGGGTCAATGCTATGGCTTTACTTTTATACAGGGAGCTTTGTACTTTAAAATCTACTATTTACTCTATCCCTTTTCTTGTCCTTTGGACTGATAAAGTGTTAAAACTGAGAACGGGCAGCCTGCTGCAGGGATATGCGAAAACAGAAGTGGGAGCGCGTGACACTGGACGTCAATTAGCGGTGAAATAAAGAGTATTCATGTTTGAATCTTGAAAATATTTCTGCAGGTTGCCTTTTGTCCAGATGATCTTAGTTAGTCGAGTTTCAGCTGGAGCTGTTGTGAAAGCAATCTATAGCAGCAGAGTCTACAGTCCAGATTGTGATCACAAGCATCTGAGTGGTCACCTAGTTTCCCAAAAACGAATGCAGATTCCAGTTTTGTCCGTGAGAGCTGATAAGCTCGTCCCTCCTGGTGTTTCGAAGCAGCGCGGCTGGGAGTCACAGTGTTTTGTGGGTCGTCTGAGGAAGACTGGGCGCCCCCTTAGAGAAGTACTCCCGGCGGTGGTGGTGGTCACAGGCTGTCTGTGCGGGCGTGGCAGCTGTCACACACTCTGACCGGGTGGTCCCAGCCTCGGGAGGGCACGGGCTTGTTGTGCGTGGAGCAGGCGCCGCACACGCCCTGCCCACAGGCCCTGCAGTGGTGCTTGGACATGGCCGGAGTAAACGTCTTGGAGCACTGGTGGCACTGGGTGATGTTCTGGTCCGGGACCCAGTAGTCTGGCCGAGCCACGTCCTTCACAAAACCTGGGGGGGACGAAAAGAAAAGCAGATGATGACCGCCACGTGTTTGTTAGGCGTTGTGCACGTCCTTAACTGGAACCTATGATGTTGCTGCGTGACTGTTTCGTTACGGAATATTTTAAAAAATCTATGTTAAAATATTCTTAATGCGTTCTATACACACGCCTGATGCAGTTCATCAGATCAGAACCATAAGATTTACAGTACCTTGATCCTCATCACCTCTGAAACGTTTGTTTTTGTCTGTTGGCTCTGTTTAGTTTAATTCAGAAGTATTGAGACTAATAAGGCAAATTTTTTATTCTGAGCGTAGTTTAATCGTGTAGTTTTGTGCCACCATTTTTCCAATTGACAACTGTTTAAATAGTCGTTTTCCCCAAAAAATAAACAGACAGACAGAGACCAAACTGTATTCCTCAGACATGTACCAAGATGATTGTCAGAAAAGTCTTCAGGAAAATCTGGTCAAAAGATTCCACTGCTGCTGTTCACAATTTTCTCAATATCTGCTGAAAATGTATTTTTATGGCTAGAAAGACAATAAAAGGCAGGATGTGACACATCGGCCGACTTTGCTGCCAAGTTCACCAAAGAGGCGCTGTTCAAATGTTTTTTGGACTTAATGCAAACCGAAACCAGCATTACTTAGACATATTCTGCATATTGGCGTGAGGATATCTGTTGGTGAAAATCGTATGATCGTCCTGAAGGATGTGTGACGACGAGGATGCAGCTGTACTCACAGAGAGGATAGTCCACGGCCGTAGTTACCATGTCCAGTGTGGACTGGGCCACCTCTGTCACCTTGCGAGCTATCAGACCTCGAGGCTCCACCTTAGACACTAACGAAAAGAATTGTGTCAATCAAGGAAATAGACGAAAACACCAAACGCTGAGAATAGCATTGGTAATACTTCCTCCTATTGGTGGACTGGGTGTTCACAGGCTTCGCCGATTGGAGTCTTACCTTCAGTGCTGCTGTCAGGTGGACCTCCCTGCCGGTAGCAGGCCTTACACACTCTCACAGGACTGCTCCCCCAGCCCCGCTCTGGCACGGGCATCCTGTGGCTTGAGCAGGGGTGGCAGAATCCCTCGCCACATGATCGACAGTGATGCTTCCTCTCGGCCTCCTCGAACACCTTCTGACATCCGTGACAGGCCTGGGAGGTTGAGAGGTAGGATGACATGACACGTGATGTCAGTTCTGATGGGGGAACTCTGCGTCTCTGCCTTGGTTCACCGTGCGTACCGTGATCTCTGTGTTGGGTCTCCAGTATGGAGGGGCCACCTGGTCGGTGAGCCAGGCTGTGACGGCTTTCGTGGGGCCGGTGCCGTACTCCGAGACGGACTGGATCACGTAGTTCATCCCATCCAGGACCCTCTGGGCAGCGTTCTGGTGGTTGGTCCGGAAGGTGTCGGACTGAGGGACGGAGGGGGATCAAACAAACAGAAAATACTGTAAAGCTGAAATACATTTCATGCAGGGTGACTTGTCAGAAATGACATACCTATTTTCAAACTATTTTCTATATTGATTTTTACCAGAGCTAGGCGTGTTATTGACGTATTATTTGAAAAAAATCACGAGATTTATCGCGGTTAAAATCTTAATTTAACTCTCCAGGCACTTAGTTAACCTTAGTTTTGTTATCTTGTTTACTACAAATCTTTTATCCTCCGAGGTCACATTGACTGATCTGTTTGAGCAGCTTGTTTAGCAAATTTATTACCGAATTTTGTTGCTTCACCGGTGAACTTGTTTCCAACACAGTAACCCATATTTTTTGTTATATGGTAAAACAGACTTTATTTTTTTAGAAAAAAAACAAAACAAATTGAACTATGATTATGATCAGAGGGTCACACTTAGCTGGAAAACCATTGACTGGTATTTGTTTAATCTGAATACTGACTTAAAACCATTCTGGTATTTTCCAATGGCAAAAAACCTAACAAACCTGTCGTCCACCTTGGTCAATTTGACCTTTTCCTGTTTCACTTTTTATAGGGTAAGTATAAAATGTTAACAGAATCTTACGTTACACCTTCTAGTCATCTTGTTTTCAGCACAGATTTTACATTAATTTTTGGAATATATTGTGTACAACAAACCTTTATAAGATAATAACATGAAATAATCATTATTTATTTAGAGACATTTGAAACACAGTATGTTTTGTGTCTTATCACAGGTAGTCATTTGTAAAAAATTCAAATGTCTTAATGACAAAAAAAGAGCACAACCTGGATCCATTCATGTCATTTTAGGCAATTACAGAAAACCAATCTTATGACAAATCAACTCTTGAAATGAGTCACACTGACCCAAAGACAAAAGGACTCTATAGGTTCATATGAAATATAAAATAAACGTGTTTGTGTACACTGCACACGCGGATTGGAGGACTCACCCCTTCCCAGACATGTTTGACCTCAGATCTCACAACACCGCTCTCAGGGTCTTGGTTTCCCAACCAGTACTGCCTGCTGCGATAGATCACACCACAGCTGGCGCACTCCAACACGTACCTGACAAAAACAGAGGGAGGTGGTGGTGGAAAGAGGGGAATGAGTAAGCAGAGAGTACAAATTCCATAGCCGCTGGTAAAACAAGGAAAGTAGGGGGGTGTGTGTGTGTTTACCCACCCTGACCAGGCATATTTGGCCAGTCCAAGCCATTGGTTGTCTGAGGAGGCTGATGTTTTGGGTACTACAATTACCTCTCTACCTCCTTCATAGCACCGCTGGTTATGCCACATGAAGAAAGTAGAGCAAAAAAAACACAGAGGGGAAAGAACAATCAAAAAAAGAAGATACATGCAATAGAAACAAACAGTGATGATCCTGAATTACCTTACAGATGAGCACCTTGTTGTTATATTGGTGTGCATACTGGCAGAGTCCATCTGCCATGTGGGGGACCCTGTCTCTCAGGTGATTCATTCCATTTTTACAGCGGATGCTAAGAGATGGACAGACGTTAAAAATCAGCTTTGTTGGCAGGGTTGGTGTCAACTGTGTGAAATTGTCTTTTGTATCCAGGAGAATTTGCTTTCAGAACGCTTTATCTTGCTGACATTCAATTCAATTCAATTCAATTTTATTTATATAGCGCCACATCACAACAACAGTTGT